GCCAGTTCGCATGCAGAACTCTATGTGATTCTAACGAGCAATATGCATCCTGATAATGTTTGCAGCCGAAGACTTGGGCATGAATGCTGGTATGGGGCTGCCGTTTTAAGCTGGCTGGAAGTTTTCGAACCTTATGACATATGAAATTTGCTGCACGGTTTTCCAACGACCAGATCTGACGAGGGACACGACCTGTTGCGGACAACATTTGGTGCTGCTCGCCGTTGCCGAGTGCGAAGCATCTGCGCAACGCAAGCAGTTAGATGAGGGCCGCCCTTATTTTCCAGTCATCCGCGGACTCCCAAGGATGCCTCTCGCTCTTCGCCCCCATCTCGACTTGCATTTTTTTCCCCGGGCTGGGGGAGCGCCCCCGCCTTCGGGGTCTCAGTGGTCGACACGACAGAGTCATTTGAGCAGCACTTCAAACTGTTTGTCTCCGAATCGGGCAGCCCGGCGGCCACAGACGCCTTTACAGCGGCACATCAAGCTGACCTCGACCGATGGGGCTTTCTCATGAAAGCGAGCTCCTAGGTGTTCTGATACGTTGGTCCTTGGAGGCTGTGAGCGATGGTGCATAAGCAGTACTCCTTGGAGCCAGCTTTCAAAGTTCGCAGAAATCCTGAAACCATGCACCCCCGAGCAACTTTAGTCATAATACGGCTCGGTTTGGCAAATAGCAATGTTTGAACTGTACAATACCGTACAATACCATTGTGATGTGTGGCACCTCACGCATTCGGCTTGCGTTCCTGTTCTTCTCACTCCCTTGCCGCCCTCTGCTACTCCTTTCTCTGGGAAACGGCTTTCAAGGGACAGTGCAGGGGGAGGAAAGGTAGCGGGGTGGGTGGGAGGGTGTGGGGAGGCAGGAGGGCAGGTCAATGGAAGGGAGCGGCATGATAATCACTATGAAAGAGAACAGGTTGCATTACAGGTTGGCTGGTGCCTTAGTGGTCTGTTGGGCTTGGCAGTAGATCTTTATTTCAGTCTGGAAATCACAGTGTTAAGTATTTGCAGTCTGTGCTTCAGAACAACCAGAAACACTGCACTGCAAACTACAAACTACATGGTGTGGCATCGGGGATCAGTGAGAAAATGCTGCGCCAATATTGTGCTTTTGCAGCTTGAGTATCCGACATGCTGTTTATCGTATTCCGAGCCAAGAGAAGTTCCATCGGTAGGCCAAAGCTCTGCCCATGTAGTTCTGGCAGCTTTCTGATGCAGGAGATCCACCTGTCGCATAATGAAATTCGACAAAAGGGCATCGTGGTCGCAACAGTTTCTGTTTGCTCACACGCATTTGCGTGTGCAGGCACACACGCAAACAGCACGAGGCATGGCGGCCCTGCTCGTTGCCCTCGCCCTGCATCCTCCGAAGGCAAGGTCGCCGGTGCTGCACGCGAGCATACGCGAGCTGCGCCACGAGGAGGAGTTTCGGTGCTTGCTGCCTCAGGCTTATCCACGAGCCGCTCCAGGCGAAGCACGCATCTCAGTCCACCCAGAGCCGGTGCAGAAAGGAAGCATCGGAGAGCCGAGGAGGTGCCATGTTGGGTGCGCTTGGAGCATAACCAGGAGCTTTGGCGGCAGAGGATGCGACTCTCTCTGTTTTTCCAAAGCGCGAGGTGTCTCATGCCGAGTACCTTTTGAACTTGTTGAGCCAGGAGAGTCAAAACAGAGTCAGATCTCAGCCGAAAGTCCCGTCTTTGCAGGATCCCACGAAGCTGCGCACATGCCTCGCTCCCCGACGTGACAGAGGTCCAAGCTGTACTTCTTTCAGATGTCAGGCCAGCATTTTCGGGTTTCTCGTTTCTCAGTCTTGCAACAGCCAACACTCCCTGGCGCAGCGAGGCAGTCGAGAACGTGGCGCATGTTCACCTGTACTGTGTCGACAAGCAGGTACCCACACCAGCGCAGCTGTTGAGTCCTATTTTCGCTCTCTGCCATACTCTTGTCATGTCAAGATCCACACAGGACGACGCCCAAAGTGAGACCAAGAAACATGCTCAGGCACTTGACTTGGGCCCTTTGGAGCTTGGAACCTTTGCAGGGACCTGCTGTCTGAAGCAGGCCGCGCTGCAAGAAGCCCTTGAGGATTGTCGCCAGGGCCACCCGGGCAGCGACATCCCCAAAACCCAGATGCCTCCGCTGCTTACGCCTTCGGATGCGGCAGAGTGCCGCCTGGTGGAGCTCAATGTGCGGCGCCCAGGTCCCCCACAGGGCGTCACAGTTCGTCCGCGGCCGGCGAATCCGTGCGAGAGAGTTTGAGGTAGATCCTGACAAGGGTGCTGGGCTGGATCTCAGCGAGGGTCACTACGGCTTTGTGGTGGATGCCGTGGAAGCTGAGCCCGGGCAGCAGCGAGACGCTCGAAGGCCCGCAGGCTTCGTGAAGGAGTGCTTTCCGGCTTCCAGAGGCTCTCACCGGGAGATGTACTTCTTGAAATTGATGGTGTGCAGCCTCTTGCCTAGCCTTGCCAGCTGTGCTTCAACCGCGTGAGGGTTGCTACAAAGTGTGCATCATTGTGCATCAGGCTGTGGGGAGGCTTGGGACTGGAGCGCCTGGGTGAGGCTTGCAAGATTCCAGACAGATGAAGCCCCGCAAGTCCTTGTCGGAAAGGCCTTCGGCAGCCGCTTTGCAGACGGGGCTCGGCTGCGTGTTGCACGAGCCGATGCAGTGCAGGGCCGGGCGCTTTGGCAGTCTTGTCCTCAGGCCCTCGGGAGACCATTGAAGCTGCTGTCAAGGTTCATCAAGCTAAGGCAACTCTCAATTCCCGGACCATCCTTGTCTTCTCGATGTGACGACTTGCGTGAATCCCTGGGCCGGACCACCACGGAAGCAGCGGCGCTGCAAAGTCTTGGGTTTTGCATACCAAGGTCAAGACTTGGTCATCATGGGGCGGCAGTGTGGGGTACAGGCAAAGCTGGAGGCTGATTCAAGAAGCTGAACCGGTTGTGCTTCTGTCACTGTCAAGATTCCTGCTCTGTGAGGATGATGGCATTTGGTTGCGTGGGCATCCGCAACAGCAACGTCATGGCCTCTATCCGCCCGTCTGGCGGATTCGTGTGGAATCTTCACGGCCCAGGCTGGGCTGCGGACGAGCTGCCGAGGCGCCAGAACCCTTTCGGCCCTTGCCCATTCCGGCCCATTCCGGTGCCAAAGTTCAACTGCCTGCATCTGCAGAGTCATTTGGACAGGGAGGTTGGGTCGCAAGCTTTGTTGCACTGGTTTGGCACCCAAAGGCTCATGCACAACCGGGCCTGACCTACAACGATCCTGACAGAAAGGGGCTCTGCAAAACTGGCAGGCTTCTGGCCTTCTACTTCCCCGAAACGTTGCTTGCGCTGCTGGGACTTCCCTTTTTTCAGAACCTGCAAATTTTCGCAGTGTCTCACAGAGGTTCCCTTCTTTCCATTGGCGTGATGATCCCGACGAGCTGTGCAGATCGGAGATCGCCGAGCCTTCTTGTGAGGAGCTCCGTTAAATGTGCCCCTTGCCAAGCTGGTGGCCGAGCAGTGCTGGAGGACAAGATGCGACAAGAGCTTCGTCTCGGGGAGCTGCCAGGCCAGCAGCGCCTTGTGACAGCGCTGATGTTCAGAACGACTCCTGCTCAGATGGAAGCTGTGCAGAACTGGCATCTTGGGAAAAGCTTCTCAGAGGACAGTGGTGCCTGCCTGAGAGAGCGCCACTTTTCTCGCTCTTGAAACGGAGACTTGAAGGCGAGTGCAAGTGCCCAACAGCCAACACAAAGCACAATCTATACTGTTTGGCACTTTGGTTCGCAGGTGCGAAGATGACGACATATTCGATGAGGATCTACCGGTGGAGCCATTGGAAGCTTCTTGGCTGCATCCCTTCACGAAGGCGTTGTTCTTCGTAATCTTGTTGGACGACAGGCGCCGGACGACGGGCCAGATGTATTCGAGGGACAGGTGCACCTTTTCCTTCAGAAAGCCTTCACTCTAAGCTTTCGGCTAGACGTAGCTGAGAGGTGCTTGCACCCGAAACACACGTCTCGGATCCACTCCGGGTCGCAGCCTCGTGCAGGACTCGGATGCTGGTTGGAGTGCAGAAGCATTTTGTTCAGGTCCTGATGCTCGTTGGGCTGCCAGGATCCGGCCAGGAAGCCCAGGGCTGTGAGGCTGATTCGCCCTGCGCAAGTTCGGACAGCCCCAACTGTCCCAGGCAAGAGTACCCTGGCGGCGAGGCCGGCTTCGGGACACTACACAGCTCTAGTCGTGCCTTTCGTGAGCTTTTTCGGTTCCTGTTGTGGAGCACTAACCTGACGCTTTTGGACACGTCGCCACGGCATCAGATGGTTGCAACTTGTTGCAACCGTCGGCCTGAACGTAGGGAACCGAGAGCAGAATGATTCATGCGGCAGAGCATGTTGGACGAAGTTTCGAAGGTTCAGCGGGGTTGTGCGCATGTCCCGGAGCAGTTGGGCACCGACTACCCACGACTAGCAGGTGGGTGATGGTGGATGTAGGCACTGTCTGCATGGCCCCCAAGCTTCGGGCCTGGCGTGGTGTGGGCAAAAAGGTGAGTTGAAGTTGAAGAAGCTAGGTCAACGGCAGAGACCTCCAAAGGGCGCAATAAACTTCATGGAAATATTGCCATTGTACAAGAGGAGCAAGACCAGCACCGCCGATCCGAGCCGCAGCGACGCATAAAGCTTGAACTTCAAAAGGATCATTTTCTGAGAAAGCGTGCTGCATGCAGCACGTGCTTCATCGTCTGTGTTCATCAGTTTGGTGCTGTTCTAAGTTTTACTGTATGAGCCAGGATGCACCGCCTTGGGTGTGGGCCTTGTTTGCTTCTGGTCTAGCTATAAGCAGTAGCTGCTATGCTGTGCCCTTGCAAGGTGGGTCGTCATAAACCAGGACACCCTCGGGGTCGGGCTCTCAGGGGAATTGCCGGGCAGTGCACGTGTGCACCTAGTGACAAGTTCAACATGTGGAAGTCTTTTGTGTTTGCTACTTAGGAAGCGAACACCAGTTAGGAAGCAAACAAAGAATCAGCTGCTGAAACCACTGCAGCTCGAGTTTCTCAGCTTTTCAGGTAGAGCCTCACGCGCCGAGACATGTCAGGACAACGTCATGTTAGTCTTGTTGTGCTGGCAGCACTTGAAGGTGCTTTGCGAGGCCAGTACTGCGCAGGACTTTGCGGCCGAGCTGACGGTTGAGGACTATGGCACCCCCTCTTGCGACCCTGCTGCCTGTGCTGGAGATACAGTAGGACTGTTCGGAGCTGTAGAGGCCACGTTCGGAGGCCAGGCGCCACCATTTCTTTACCTCAAGGAGCCACTTCGTCTACAGGCTCTACAAATGGAGGACAGGAAAATGCAGCCCGTCAAGAGGACAGGCCGCTGGAGCACTTCCTGTGAACAAAAAGGCGATGCAAAACTTAGGATGCAGCGGCATACCGACCGCCTACAACCGTTGGCTCGCAGCGGTCGGTTGCATGTTCGCTTTCCTTTGCTTTCCGTGCGTTCGTCTCGTCGCGTCCGTCCGATGGTGCATTGTTTTTTTAGGTGCCTCCGACCGTAGGTGCGAGCCATGGCTTCGAGTTCTGAAACATCGCGTTCTCCACCTACTTCGGATCCGTCCGGTTGGGGTTCAGGACCTTTCTCCGTGCCTTGGGTTGCTACTTCACATCCACGTCCGTCAATTCCGGTGACCGTGGACAGTCCGGAGGCAGGTGGGTTTCTTCCGTTCTCTTCCGGTTCATTCGCGTGCTGTCCTTGCCAGGCATGGACCCCCACGATGAACCTTTTGGTCGGGTGCTTAGCTGGTCCGACTGTGTATCTTAGGCCACCCATTCCAGAAGGAAGCCAGGGAGCGGAGAGGCCGGATTGAAATGGCATGCCGCCGGCGACCCGACGTGGAGTCCACCACGCCAGTGGCCGACGGAGCCGATACCCTGCCTACACAAAGCAGGGCCGGAGCAACTGGAGCGGACGAACAACCCAAAGAGAGCGAGGGGGATGATGTAAGTGGCCGCTGTGCGGGAGGGAACAGCCACGCCGGCAAAGACCCTCGGGCAGAGGTGGAGCAGGAAGCGGTGAAAATGCCGACATAGGAAGATGCAGACCTCGACCAGAAGGCGCAGAGAGGAAAGAATCAGGGAGGGGGATGGCTGAGCGGCCGGAATAGCAAAACCCATGGCCGGCAAGAGGAGGCGCTCACCTTCTTTTGTCAGGGTATGCTCGGAATCGAAGGTCTTGCAGTCTTCGAGAATGCTATGCCTAGTTCCCCCACTTTAGCTCCGAGCATACTGCTTTGACAGACTACCCCCCCGGCGTGCGGTTCAGGAGCGTCCTGGCAGCGAGGGCGTGTGCATCAGCTTAACACCCGAGCATGCAAGTGTCAGCTCTTCTATGCTTGCCAGCTGCTGTGCTATGATGCGTTGTCTGGGTGAACATGCGCTACCCCTACCGGTGCTGCTAGCAGAACCAAAGGCATCGCTGACCTCTCGTGCATCCGGTTGGAGAATCTGTGCAGACGACTGCGGCATGCTCTCCTGCGATATGTGTGATTTGCAGGTTGACATGGTTGCATGCAGACCACGTAGCCACTAACTTCAGGAAATCGCTGATTGGCTGTGTGGTGGTGAAACGCTTATTGATGCCTGCTTCAGCACTGGTATTGTCACAGGCCGCCGGCAGTGAGAAGCGCCAGTGCTTTGCCCGCAAGCGTGTCTTGGCCAGCATTGCGAGCGCCAGCTGTGCCAACGCCTCGAAGCATGCAATATATTTTTGCGGTGCTTCAACCAACTGCGGCCAATGCTGCGTATTTCACTCATTTCCCATTGTTCTGCGAACCATGCGAACTGAGCTGATGTACCAATCCAGCCGCCGATGCCAACCATGTTGCCGTCTGCTCTTGCTTCTGCGGCTGCCATGCAATGCATCAGCGGATATTGCTTGAGGGGCTTGACTCTGGATGATGCGAAGCATTGTGATAGCCAGGTAAGTGCTGCTCGGCTTTCATTGCGCAGGTGCAGCTCGTTACGGCTGGGGTCTTGCAGCCGAACCCATTGGGGCTTATGCGACGGAGGCACTTTGGGCACAGATGCCTTGCCTGAGACCGTTATGCTTCCCACTTCGAGAAGCTTTGCCCCCAATGGGAGCCACATCTGCTGGCCGACTGCGCACGATTGCGTCCTTATCCAGTGCGTCCAAAAAGGTTTGCCATGAAGCTGCGTGGATGCTGTGCAGTGTGCCTCGGCCGCTATGAAGGTCGCGGTAGAGCGGTGCCAAGTAGGGCCTTAATTGCGGGCACGTGGTTGTTGCCCACATGAGTAGCCCGAGGGCCTTCCCAAGGAGCTTGCGGGATATCTTTCTGCTGCGTGCAGCTCCTGCAGTTGCAGCTGCAGTTTCTCGAGCTTGCCTGCTGCCAGCTGGACGGTTTCGAAATCAAAATTAAACGTCCAGCCGCACCATGTGACCTCACATGGCCTAGCTGAGCTTTCTTCCAGTTTATGGGTGCGTGCACGGCCGTCAAAAAGCAAACAAGAAGGGCCAGCTGTTCCACGAAGGCGTGCCGTGCAGCAGTGCGAGCAAGTCGTCCACGTAGATCCATGCTCTTCGCGCATGCTTGCCGAGCAGTGCATGAACGATGCGCAGGAGCATGGCACCCAGGCGCTGCCACCAATATGCCGAAAATCGTGCTCCGAAGTGACAGACCACATAATGATACAGCCTGTCTGCGATGCGGAAAAGCATGCAACCCTGGTCTTCCGTGCGCAGCTTAATGCCTTTATGCGCTGCCTTGAAGTCGGGGGAAACCGCAACGAATGCACCGTGCGGGTCATTGTGCTGAAAAGCACCCGCCATCCACTCTCTTGAAACAGCGCAGGTGGCTTTACTCAAAGTTTCCGCAAGATAGCTACAGCAGAGCATCGCACATGCGTCTCACATTCGTAGGGGGAACTAGGCATAGCATTCCCGAAGACTGCAAGACCTTCGATTCCGAGCATACCCTGACAAAAGAAGGTGAGCGCCTGCACTGCTTTTGTTTCTGCTAGCTGTAGACAGTCGCTATAAAGAATCTAGGTCAGCAGAACAGCACTTTGGCCGAGACCAGGTCGGACCACACCGCACCATTCTGCGGGTAGTGGAAAAGAGCCGATCTCCTGTTCGTACGCATTCTCACGAAGCACAGAACTTGTCGGGCAGATTCGGGCAGTGCACGTGTGCACCTAGTGACAAGTTCAGCGTGTGGAAGTCTTTGGTGTGTGCCACCAGTTAGGACGCAAACACCAGACAGGGAGCAACGAGCTGCTGAAGCCACTGTAGTCTGAGTTTTTCAATTCTTCGGACCGACCAGATCGCCTTTGAGAAGCTTGAGCAGGTTGGCCGGGACCAGGTAGGACCACACCACTCCGCGGGTAGTGGAAAAGAGCCGAACTCCTGCTCGTACGCATTTTCACGAACACAACACTTGTGTCAGCATGAACGCGAAAATTGGAGCCGCCCATTTTGTGTTTCAGCACAAGTGATATGTGTCAGGACAGGAAGAAATGCGTGGCCACTGCCATTGATGCATTGTCCTCCGTGCTGCTTGCAAGCTTTCGGACAACGCCTCGTTGTGCTGCCGCGCTTCCGCTGCGGCGAAGTGGCCAGGGGCAGAAGGTGGTCATCGATCGTTGCAACGTCACGCGACTGCAGCGGCGAGTCTGGCTCGGGGTGGCAGATGAGAACCAGGCCAACGATGCTGTCTGCGCAGCGCAGACGCAGCGCAGACGCAGCAAAGAAGAGGAGCGCGAGCCGCCAGGCGAGCGTGGCCTGCATCTGGTTGGATGTGCCGGAGGCCGGGTTGAGCTTGGGCCGCTTGCGGCTTAGGATCTCGAGCGGAAGCCTTGAATGCCGTTTGCACTTGACGTGCTGGTGCCGCAGCCGTGGTCTATCAAGGGGACGTGCTACAGGGCTCGTCTGCAGCCATGCCGCTCGGTCGACAGCAGTGAGCCGTAAAGAAGGCTTGATTGCATGATTGCTTTGATTTTGGGTTTGCTTGCAGCATCTTCCACGTCATGAGTCATGATGCAGGCTTTCCGCCTGACACATGGCCGGTTCCACAAGCCTTGCTGACTTTAAGCAGCCTCTTGGCAGTGTGGTGAAGGAGGTGCGCGACATCCTGACTCCACATCCGGGGGACTCTGAGGCTTGCGCTGCTTGGTGAAGGAGCTTATTCCGCCGTTTACAAGGTGCTCCCTCCTCCCCACAGCTACCAGATGCACCGTCTGTGGAGTCGACAGGTTCTCCGGTTGGCGGACAACGAGATCTATGCCTTGAAGAAGGTTCCAGCCCTGAAGTTGTCCGTCTGCCCGCTTGCCACTGCCATTCTTGTTAACCAAGGTCAAGCTCCCGTCTCTATCCGACAAGGAGAAACAGAATGCCTTGAATGAGGTGGTTGCAACGCTGGCCATCATCTTCAAGCGAACGTCTTGACTAAGTTGGACAGTCCCCGGCATATGTACTTCTGCACAGGTCCGGTTGCTTGCATCTGTCAAGCACCCAAACGTCTTGACCCAAGTACTGTCATGACCGGCACGTACTCTTCTACATGCTGATTTTTCAAGTGTGCAGAGTCTGTCCCAGCCAACATGCAAAGCCGCCGCAATTGTCCATTGCACCTGCAGCCACAACATAGCTGCTGTGCCTGCCTGACTGCTGGTGCGCACACGTGCAACACATTGCGGGCCTGTGGTGCCGTCGTCAATAACGCTCTGGACATCTTTGGACATTAGGTCGTCGCTTACAAGGAGGCGTTTTGGGACGACAAGACCCGGTGTCTGTGCATCGTGCAGGACTTTGTCTGTGCATCCTCTGCTTGGTGCATCTGCACCTTTGACAGGAGTGTGCAGATGGCGACCTCCTTCAGCAGATCAATAAATGCAAACAGGAACGCGCCTACCTGCGCGAGGTGCTTTAAGAGATGGATTGAGTGTGGCATCTTTCGGAGAGCCAACCTGCAGGCCGACGTGTGGCGATACCTCGACGGGATGTGCCAAGGCCTCAAGGCACGGAGATCTTCCAGAACATCTCTGAAGCATCCTCTTGTTACACTTCCGGCAGGCCTTGCACGACATCCGGGTGTTACATCGCGACATGAAGTCCGCGAATGTCTTCCTGCATCTGAGCTGCAAAGAGGGAACTGACCCAGGCGAACGTTGGGGAAGCAACCCCCGAAAGTTTTTCGAAGGTCCGCAAAGCCGAAGTCCTGGTCAAATTGACCAGACTCCTCTCATGCTGTCTGACAAGCGCCGCCACTGAGGAGTCACACGAAGGATGGGACCGTTGCAAAGCTTGGAGACTTCAACGTCTCGAAGGCAGAGCAGGATGTCCTGATCGCCTGACAACCGTTGACCGCAGCCCGTGCCCAGGTTGCGAAGCGCGGTCTTTGCATGACTCAAACGGGCACGCCTTACTACGCATCTCCCGAAGTTTGGCGAGACATGCCCTATGACGTACCTCGCTTCTCTGCATCACGTACTTGAAGCTGGAAGCTCAAGACAATGAAAGCCAAGGCGAAAAGTGACATGTGGTCTTTGGGCTGTATCCTGTACGATTCTCGTATGTACTCATTGACAGACTGTTGTGCCTATTCTGGTTGGTGCTGGGGCGAGGGGAACGGAACTGAAACGCGCCCTGATTCCATCAAAGGAGATGGTGGCGTTGCGACCTCCTTTCCGTGCAGAGGATATGGAGGGGCTGTATCGCAACTTGATTGAGTAGAGCAACTCCCATGTCACCTTCACCTGGTGTTGCGCGTGGTCGCAGAGGTAAAGTTGTGCGTGGGCAGTACCCACGAATACCTGCACATTACAGCAGCTGGTCGCAATCGGTGACTTGATGAGCCGTCTCTTGTCGAATCTTCGCTCGCAGGCCAGGACCTTGCGGATGTGATCGCAGCTCTTCTTCAGGCGCAGTCAAACAGTTGTTTTCGGACTCCAGTACTCGATACTCCCTATCCCTTCTATTTCAGGTCCATCCTCGGAATCGTCGGGGTCTCGGCTGTGAAATGCCATGCCGCGGCGGTACTCGGAACGGAATCATTCCCTTTCTTTTGCCCGAGGCCCAGCTGTGGACCAGTTATACCAAATGCCTCAAATGGCTCGTCATTGCAATGGACTCCCTCACGAGGAGATGCAGCGTGATCATCACGTGGCAGTACGAAGCGTTTAGGTCCTTAGGTCGTATCTACTTTGCATGCATTTGCATGTGTTTCAGCTCAAAGGAGAAGTTCACATCTGACCTGTTGTCCACCATCAAGCTTCCGAAGAACGCCATAGCTGCCTTCTGAGATGTTCTGCCCATCTCGTCCAGAGATTTCAGTGCAAACATGGGCTTCGAAATCTCTAGAGAAACCTAGAGATCCAACTTTGGACCAAGGATCTCGGCGGATGCCTTCCCAAGCCACGCTACCAGATGGATTTGCGCGCGATGACCTCGGTATTGGCTAACCGATGTCGAAACCCACTTTGGCGGTTTAAGTTTCTCTCCGAGGAGGCGCTTCTTCCTGAAGAGTCTGACCGTTTTGACACGGACAGTCCTGCAGAACGCCAAGCAGGGCGCAGCCGGTTGGGATCTGCGCAAGCTCAAGGTCCCTGAGAGGGCAAAGGAAACGGGTCTAAAAGTTTAGACATGTTTAGACGATGCAGCATGTCAGCATGTTGGGCTTCATGGAGGCCTTCCTCCGATACCTCCTGCGCGGGGCACCCGGAACCTTGGAAGCGCGGGGGGCGCATCTGTGGCTCGTGAGGACCGGGAGAATTTAGCCGGAGAGGAGTTTTCCATGCCATGCCGAGCCATGCTGAATGGCAGAGAGGAAGCTGGAGATAGCCTTGACATCTATATGCAGCTCCTGGGCTGCAGGGTCGTTAAGTGTGACCAGGTGTCTTTTACGGAGGATTTGCCCATCTCCAGGCGTGCTGAAGGGAGGGACGAGACAAGCACCAGCCGTGCAGTGCCTCGGCGGGCCGTCGCCTGAGAACTGACAGTGGCAAACTGTGCAAACTGTACCAGCTCTTGAAAGCTCTTTCTTTCTGAAGGACATGACCGGATCTCGTCCCGAAAGCGATGCGAGCAGCGTTGCTCCCTATCAGGCGGGGTTGTGCTGCAGATCTTGTGAACACATCTTGACGAATGTGGCTGATGCAGGTTGGCAATGTCGGACGCCAGCCCAGGCTACCAGCTGTCGGAGAATCTCGAGGACTCCCTCCACTTGCACCCGCCGGCCCGTCCGCTGGCCTTCTGGGAGTCATGCGACGCGATGGCGACACCCAGGAGTCACCTTGAACCCTCATTACAACGTGGGGCAGAAGCAGCTACCCAAGTTTCTTGGAAACGGATTCCAAGCAGCGGCAAAGCTTTGCGAAGGCAGAGGGAGCCCAGAAGACCGATGTCCATATACGCCCGTCAGTCCGCGGCCAAGCACAAGCGACGCCTCCCGACCAGGTCTTTTGTGTGACACATTCTTTTTTCAAGCTTTACGCCAGCTGTAGCCTGCATGGGCATTTGAGCCAACGTGAGCTAATGGCAAAGCCGTGCTGAACCGGGCTTGCAGTCTGAGGGGCATCGCCAAACACGTGTTGGGCTCCTGAACCTACGCTTCAAGCCATAACCTCGGCTCCCGGAAAGCCTGGGTGCTTGACAGACGGGGACGAGAGGCCAAACCTTCGGGAAAAGGCCTTGCCGCGATGGCGGCCGAAAGCCGCAAGCGAACGCATCCAACGGCCCAACCAACCTCTTGACACACCTCTCGGAGGAGGATTGGAAGCACCAGGTAACAGCAATCTGCATGAGCGTATATGAGCATTCAATATCTTGGAAATTGCATCTCAGCCGCTGGGTACGACCGCTTCGACAATGTTTCATTGTCAGTTTCACGAAGATTTGGTTGGCGGTCATGCTCGTCACCGCGTAACTAGGAGACACTCACAACTGGACCCCCACCATTGACCACTGTCCACTGTATGAGGCAATATGGTGTTGGAGAGTCGCAGCCCTGTCTTTGTCTCAAAGCTTGTCGTAGATCACCCCTTGCCATGTCGAGGCCTGCTCGCCCAATCGAGAAGGACGAAAGACAGCCAAAAGATTCAGGCGTAAACGGTCGGGTGCTTGGAAGCATCTCCTCGCATCCTCCCGCTTCCAAGGCAAGAAACGTTCTCTCATTCCGAGGCAGGAGCACATCGTGCTTGTCACGTTGAGCCTTTCTGTTTCAGCTTGCATGATTCAGTCATGTCTTGTGATTCTGTCTGTCCAAAGCGCTTCCTTGGCGCAATTCACATTAATTATATTCTAGATCCTACACTTCATTTGCCAAGGTACACACACACCCGTGTGTGTGTGTGTGCTCTGCGTGTGCGCGCTGTGTGTGTGCTGTGTGTGTGTGTGTGCGTGTGCGTGCGCGTGTGTGTGTGTGCGTGTGTGTGGACCACCTGTTTGCCA